AAAATGATATGTGAACTTGAAACTACCACCAGAAAAGCATCTATTCAGTTCAAATTGGCTTAAATCAATCATGTTATTGTGTTTTCTATCATTCCTATATGCGTTTGCTGTATCCAAAATGTATTTGTCTATGTGTGTGGGTGTGTGTGCATGGTTTGTAAATCTGTCTATGCATTTAATTAATTTATATTTGTTTTCATAAGTATCTACTCTTTTCTCTTTTAGATAGATGACTTTAAATAGAAGAATATAAAGAGATAAACATTTGTCAGGATAAGAGAAAAGAGATTGAGTCATAACAAAGAATGATTGTAGCATAATCATGACTATTCTGAGTTAGTCAGAATAAACTCACTCAAACAGAGCATTAAGAAAAGTCCTAAGAATATATCATTTCGACACATTTAAGTCCCGAAGTGTGCAAATCAAGAAGTTGTTTATGAGTTTTTATTAGGAATGTTTAGCTATTAAAATGTTTCCCTTTTATGGTAGTAATAAAACACAATTTGCATGGTGTTGTAGGCTTTTAAAAATTAAGTGCCAATATGTTGGTTTTTTAATTTTTTTTCTTGATAAAAATTAAGTTATAATTTCTTATCCAAGCAGCCTGTATTCAGAAAACTGTTTATGGCAAAAGACAGGTTTTGAAGTTTAGTCTAATATAAAAGATGATGTTGCTCCTTCACTCTTTTCAAAAGCCTCTATAATATGAATTTGTTTCATTTTTTGAATATTAATACAAAGCTATTTGCACATTTTATTTGTAGCAATACAACACAATGGCATATTTTACTTCTCAAGTAAAACATATATTTAATTAACTCTTGCCTTAATGGTAAGAAAAGTTAAGTTTGGAGGCAGAAGGTGTTTCTGTGACACTGAGCAAATCATTTAAATTCTTTGAAATTCTGTATTCTCACCAATAAATTAAGATAACTGCTCTTTTTTTTAACTCCTTGGTCATGGTAATGAAAACACATTTATCTATAACCTTGAAAGAAATTTCTTTTTAGTCTAGTACTGCATTATAATATACATGGTATGAATATATGTTATATTATACATGTTATATATAGACACCAGAATTTGTTTCCTTTTTATAATTAAGTATATGAAATGCAGTTCATAATGGAAGCAAAATACCATATATATATATATATATTCGATATATATATATCGAATATATATATATCGAATATATATATATATATTCGAATTTCTAACTTGGAATGAAAAAACAGTACATGTATTCTATGATTGGAAGTACTTTTAGTCTCAGCATGGGCCACATTTCCACTGCAGCTACTATATGGATTAATAGGACTTCTGGCTGAGAATTTAGTTAGGGCAATCAGGTATAACCAAATTTTGGAATAAGTGTGAGTCAGATAATTTAAGGGACGCTAGCACAAAATGGTGTGTTTTAAAACGTAGCAAATCTCATATGGAAGAGAAATGCACATGACTGATTTATACATACGTATATATACATACATATATAATTTCTAAAATAAAATGAAGAGTTTACTCTGATTTATTTGAACTTGTCTTCTAACAAAAATTGAAAGTTTTCAGTATTTACCAGCTTTTTAAAATTTTTATTATTAGTTACATTTTATTAACTCTATCCCAGATGTATCCCTCTCCCTCATTCCCTCCCAAAGCCTCCCTCCCTCCCTCATCTCCACCCTGCCCCTTTCCAAGTCCACTGATTGGGGAGGACCTCCTCCCCCTTCATCTGGCCCTATTTTATCAGGTATCTTCAGGACTGGCTGCAAAGTCCTCCTCTGTGGCCTAGCAGGACTGCTCCTCCCTTGGAGGAGTGGGGAGGTCAAAGAGCCTGCCATTGAGTTCCTGTCAGAAATAGTCCCTGTTCCCCTTACTATGGGAAACCAATTGGTTACTGAGCTACCATGGGCTACATCTGAGCAGAGGTTCTAGGTTATATCCATACATGGTCCTTGGTAGAGTGTCAGTCTCAGAAAAGACCCCTGTGCCCAGATATATTTGGTCCTTGTGGACCTCTTCACGTCATACTAACCCCCCCTTCTTTCAAATAATTCCCTGCACTCTGCCAAAGGTTAGGTTATGAGTCTTAGCATCTGCTTTGATATACTGCTAGGTAGAGTCTTTCAGAGGCCCTCTGTGGTAAGCTCCGGTCCTGTTACTTGTTTGCTCCTACATCCAATGCACATGACGTATAAGGAAGTTCTGTGTTTATGTTTTTTATCAGTATCATTCCATGAGGTCAGTGAACATATAAGCTATATTGTATTTTCTCAGAACATTCTTTTTGGCTGCCTAATGTAAGACAGTAAATGCTTTAAGACATTTTATTTTAACCTCACCTCTTTGTTTGACTTACATCAATTAAAACCAATTCCAGCTATACAATTTTTGTATTTTAAGTTGTAGTACTATTTTTTTTTATTTTCATGCACAAAAGTTTCAGAATATCCTAAGTGATTGTAGGGTAGTAAATTTCTTGATTTAATACAATATAGTAATGTACAAGTATTTCTTATAATACAACCTCTCAGAAACAAACGATTCCTTAATCAATATTCACAAGTTCAGTGCAGGTATAAATTTTATATATATATATATATATATATATATATATATATATATATATTCTTATTCATTCAAATATTAAATTAAAACTGCCACAATTATTTTCAGAAAGCATATTGATTTTAAAGCACTAGCACTAAAAGGACTTATATGTGATCCACAGTTCCATATTTGAAATGCATGACTCATATATGAATAAATATTTCGAGACCATCTCTGAAATTACTTTTAAAGTCATTAATGAACTATACAGGCTGCATATTTCTTGCTAACGGATGAATTAAATTAGGAGCTGTGCCTTTGAAGCTGGAGAGATTGGCAGTGTTGCCCTTGTTGCTTTGACATTGCATGAAACATAGTTAATAACCTCAATGTAAGCTCAGTGAAACACTGAATTGATACTAATTACACCAACTTTGGGATAGATGATGACCTTGACTTCAGCTGAGACTTTTAGCCAGTACAACAAATAAATCCACATGTCACAAAGCATGACTTCTGAAAAGGGTCTAATAAAGTCTATTAACTTTGGGGAGTTTGTGGAATTGCAATAAGAGCTCAGATAATTGTAGTACTTTAACATCTTTCGCTTCGATAATACAGCAGTTTCCCGTTTCTCTAGATCTCAAATAAGCTCCTATTTGCTTTTGATCTTCATTTAAGTTAGTCTGTACTCAGAAAATTAAAGGCTTCTTAAGCTAGTTGGTGTGAAGTATGTGTAAGGTGATTATAGGGTGAAGAGACAGAATTTTTCTGACTTCAGAAAAATGGAAATAATGTTTATGCAATTTTAGTCTCATCGATACTTATAGAGAAATTCTGAAAATGCTGATTCTTACATATATAAATACTTTTATAAAATGATTAAAAATAGTTTACTAAATACATAGGGAGAAAGCAGAAGAGAATTTCCAATACAAAAATAATTACTAAAGTTTTTGAAGTAAATATAACTGAATTGTAGTGCTTCTCCCTTCTTTCTTGCCCTAATCTCCCCTATAACCCACTTCTAATTTCCTTCAAATACATACATATATTCCTAATACACAAATACTCTTAATTATAACCTTCTCAGTCTATATAATGTTATTTCTGTGCTCATTCTCAGGGCTCAGCCTACACAAAGAACTACAGGCAACTGAGAAAAGCAGAGATCAGGAAAGGTGGTCTTCTCCAGGGAAGAACACACCAATTGATTGTCCAGTGCAAACAGCCTGGAAGTTACTTGTTTTCAGCAAAAAAAAATGTGCTCCTAATTTGGAGAAGTAGTATGGGATGTACAAGTAACAGCGAAACATTTTCAGAAGTACATCAAAATGACCAAAGGAAACGATTCTAGTTGCTCTGAGAGAGCTGGAGCCAGAAGAGGTCCAGTTTGAATAGCACGGCGATTACCAGAGGCCACAGTGTCAGAATCTTATCGTGAAATAAGTGAGACTGAAATATGACTTTTGTTCTGCTTTCAAATACATCTGCATTTACTGGACTCCTGTGAATATCAGAGGAATCTAAGTAGAGCAATGTAGAGACCACATGGGGAAATCCCTATACACTGTAGGTTTCCAGATTCTACTAGGTGTCAAAAACAAAGCCATGATCAGAAGTTAAGCCTTTGTATATCAAAGTGTAAGACGTCAACCTCTAGTCTTAGGTTTTATTTTACTCCAAATCTTAAAAGTAAGCAATAGAAAAGTAGTAATTGGCTAATAATGGTAGAAAGTAACTGTTTTCATAGTTCACCAAAACATGTTTTTGGTTTTATTTATTTTTTTCCTATGCACCCTTTAATTGTGAAGTCCAAACACTCTAGAGGGTAGTACTTGAAGACAAAAATTCGTAGTACTGGCTTTGTTATTAAGCAGAGAGACATTAAAAAACAAACAAACAAACAAACAAATATATCTTTTGTCATTTTAGTAGTTCACTTTCCAAGAGAGAAAATAATGTGATTTCTGTTGCAAACAGGATTCCATGGGTAGAAAAAGCATTGTCATTAAAATATCTTCAAATCTCCCTGTATGAGAACAAAGCCTGAAGCCTCTGCTTCTCGTTTTGTTTATTTAATTTTTTTCTTCACCTATATGGAGTAAATGGTTGCTAAATCTTGGTTACAGGGAGAGAAAGTATCTGAAAATTAATTATCAGTAAATTAATACAAAAACATGCAAATGTTTTATCGGTTTCTTTTTCATTAAGAGAATTTCAACATCACATAGACAAACAATTTTTAGTTCCTGAAATAATAGCTTTTCAGAAAATGTAGTCGTTCTCCTAAAAGATCTTAGCTACAGCTCTCATAGCCCTTAGTGCGCAGTCTGCTTTTTCTTTGCTGATGTTAAAGTATGCACATGCTACGAATTCAGACATGCTGCTCAGTAATAGCCTATAAGTAAAAAACTGTTCTGTTTTTTTTTTTCCCTTTGCAGTTTATCTGTTTGCTCTAAACTGTGACTGTGGCATTTAACCTTTGAAAACCACAAATGGCTTTATCCAGAATAGAATTTTAAGAATGTTTTTAGAAAGACTAAGAATAAAATCTAATTTTCTGATACTTTTGCTCTTCTGATACTAAAAAATTTAATAATCATTGTAATATGATTAGATATTTAATAAATTAAATTTAATCTTTAATTGAATATGTAATAATCATAATAAATAAGTTTACCTGGATATAATCATTATATCTGAAATTATTTGAGGAACTGTATTGGATAGTTGATACAATATATCAACACAAGGTGACATAATCATCTGAGAAGAGGGAAACTCATTTAAGAAAATGTGCCCATAAAAAAATAATAATTTTTAAAAAGGAATCCCATAAAACACTGAACTGGAAGCATAAAAAAAGATCAGGCTGTAGGCAGGCTTGTAGAGTATTTTTCTAAATTACTGACAGAGTGGAGAGGGCCCAGCCCTTTGTGAGCGGTGCTGTCACTAGGCTGTTAGTCATGAGTTCTGTTAGAAAGCAGACTGAGCAAGCTGTGAGGAGCAAGAGAGAAAGCAGCACTCCTCCATGGCCTCTGCATTTGCTTCTGCCTCCCAGTGCCTGTCCTGTCTGAATTCTGGTCCTGACTTCCATCCATGATGAGTACTGACATGGGATTCTAAGCCAAATAAACCTTTCCCAGGTTGCTTTGGGTTATGGTATTTCCTCAAAGCAATAGTTAAACCTAAGTAAGACAGGAACTACAAAAACAAAGCCTTATCTCTTAATCTTGCCAGGTTGAATTCAACCTTATTCTGCCTTAAGTTAAAATACTCTTCCACCCTGTTCATTTTCCTACCTCATAATTATGCTTTTTGAATTTTTTCTTATTTGGCTGTGTCCCCCTCCCTCATCTCCTTAAGTCACACCCTCCCTTGCTCTTCTTTCTCTATGCCCCTCCCCTCGTCTACTGTTAGGGAAGGTCCTTCTCCCCTTCTATTTGACCCTAGCCTATCAGGTCTCATCAGGGCTGGCTGCATTGTCTTTCTCTGTGGCCTGGCAAGGCTCCCCCTCCCTGAGGGAGGTAATTTTTAAATAGTTTATTTTATTTTTAATTATGTGTATCAATGTGTGTCTCTGTCTGAGTGTATGTACTTGAGCACAGATGTCTAAGGGGGCCAGCTGTGTTAAATTCTCCTGAGGCCAAACTTATTCTCCACCAAGTCAGTGCAAAAAAACTGAACTGATGTCCTCTGCAAAAGCAGTATTTGTTACAAACTACTAAAACTTCTCTCAAGCCTGTATTGTCCCTTTCAATTAGTTATCTCTTCACTGTAAGTAAGGAGTATTGGGGGTCCTAGTGAGCATAGAGACTTGGTGCACTGGGATGGGGTGGTACGGTGGTAAGAGATACTCAAGCTGTGGAACCAGAGAAGAAGTCTTCTGGCTACACTTCATCTCAGTAAAAAAGCAGGGAGGAGGCTCTTTGTGCTCAGCTTGCTCCCTTTTGTTCTTCTTTTGTCCAGTCTTGGACTTCAACACACGGAATCTTGTCAGAAAACTTTGGGGTCTTCCTCCTCTTGTGAGGTATATAACTCTGTTGGCGCTCCTTCGACAGCCATCAATTCTTGAATTCTATGAAACATGACCTGCCTCCCATTTTCATATATGAGTTTCCTTCAATTTCATGGAACGAAATATTTCAGTTGAATATTTCAGCTGGTAGTTTGAGATCCAGTCTTTCTGCCACATGAAAGAATCTGAAGAATTTCTATAACATTATTCTACACAGAAAAATCTAAAAGTCAAAATGAGTGAAAACTGGATTGTTGTAAGCAAACTTCTATGTCTGATTGTTTTTGCTTGCTTATTGTTGTCTATTTTTTTTATTTTATGTAACTGTTTCCTATTGTTTTTCCTCTTGCTACCATTTGTGTACTTATTTTTCCAGTTGTTTGTTCTCACAATTATATGCATTTAAGCACTCTGTTAAACATCACTTATGGGGAATACAAATATTGAGTTCCAGATGTGACGCCAAAGCACATGCGAACCACTCTCAGATTTTCATACTAAATTCTGCTCTTCCAGATTAGTAGTAATTTACCATGGATAAATCAAAGTCTAAATCTTTAACAAACATTATCATCCAGTCTTGTTTAAATTCAGAATTGACCCACTTTTATATAATATTTCTAAAAAGTCCATGCACACATACAATGTGTTTTGTTTGTATCAACCCCATAACTCCCCTTTTACACTTTCTTATACCTCTCTAATACTTTCCCTGTCCAATCTTCATGTTTTTTTTCTTTCTTTCTTTCTTTCTTTTTTTTTTCTATATCTCACATAGTCCAATTAATGCTGGTGGCATGTGCCTCAGTGAAATATGTCTACTAAAACATGCACAGCCTATCAGTAGCCACATTCTAAAGAACCCTTCTTCTCATAAAGATATCAGTTGTCAGTAACTCCTGAGAACTGAGTGAAGCCATTCAGACTTTAATGTTGACTCACCTGAGTGCATACAGGTCTTATATATTTCTCACAGTAACTACAGTGGCTTTATGGAGGCCACTGCAATTCCATGTCCAGAATATAATAATTTACTCCATCCCTTCTCTCTGTTCAGCTCTTACATTCTTTCTGCTCTCTTCTAAGATGTTTCTTAAGATATATGTGTATGTAATTTATGAATGACCACCCAAAATAACTTATGTTAGGCACTTTGTCTAGTTAGGAGTTTCTGTATTGAACACTGACCACTGCAAAGATAGTCTACTCTGACTATGTTGAAGGAAGTAGTAATCTATTGATATAAAAATATTTATAGGCCGTTTGATGAATTTGTTTTGGAAAAAAGCAGGAGCAGATTTAGATTCTCCCTGGGATTCTTTTTTTTTTCCCAGCAAAGTATTGTTAAACAGGTTTCCATTACCAGGCATGAGTTACTTTCTGTGGAGGAGAGTTCAGCTGCAATCAGAAAGCAGTTACCCCCACAACAATCACACCACTATTGCAGCATTTAGAACATCTTTCCTGGCAGGTTAGTTCTGTTACATGCAGCATGCACTGCTGAGTAAGCATGTTGATGACATTTGTTTAATGACCTCCACAGATCCTTCTGGTACAGCAAAATGAAGCCAATGGGAAAGAAATTTTCAGAACATTGAAAAAAATTTTTTGACTGGATAAAATGGCTAAAAAAAATAAATAAAATGATTAGAATCATGACTACTGACCTACTATTATCTGAAATTATAGTTATTTGGCCACTTATTGAAATATAATGTTACCCAAATTACAAAAATGGCTACAAAGGGGCCCAACACAATACTGTAAATTTACTTTAAGCATTATAAGGTTTACCTTTGTGTGGATTGTTTTGTCAGTTCTCCCACAAAATTCGTAGATGCGAGTATTGTGTTATAATGTCAAAGGTTAAATTCACTTGAGTAAAATATAATAATACCAACCTTGTAATTATTAAAATTAGCTGTAGTAACACTTTCAAATAACTTAAAATAGAAGCACACTCACAAGAAGCATTCACTTTTATAAGATTTCTTACAAAATATTTAGAATTATCCAAATGCTGCACAATAGAAATGAGTTTGTTATTTTATGCTACCTGTGAGATAGCTGGCAATTGTTAAATCGGAGTCCTACTCTACAGTAGTTTGACCATTTATTTTTGATAAATAAGTGAAAATTCCTGTGATCTAACTATATCATTATTAAGCACAATCCCAAAGAAACTATATTCTACAACAGAGATACTAGCATGAATGTTTTCAGTCCTTGTCTATTCACAATAGCAAGGGAATAAAAACAGCCTTAATGTCACGCAACAAATAAATGTCAATCAGTGGATGAAGAGATAGTGTAACTATGGTTCACATACACAAGGTATTTTTATTTATCTGAAAAGAAATATGAAATTAAGGAATTTTCAGATACAAATGAGAAGTCTAGAACGATAGTATTGGCAGATGTTCCCAATTTATATTTACAATGATTAAGTGTAATCTGTGTCATACACAGTTCTAACCCTATAAAATGCATGTGTGTGTGTAAAAATGAATGTAAATTTGAACAAAGTCATTTCTATCCTACATTATTTGGATAATTCTAAGATATAAATATTAATAAAGCCTAAACAGTTGGGAAGGAAATCAGGAGATAATCTCAAGTACTAAGTACATGCCTAGTAATGGCAGGTGAAGGGCAAAAGAATACATGTGACATGAAAAAGAAAAGACACTGAGAGAAAGCTTACAAATGGGAATGAGTGGATACTGAGCTATATGAAATAAGAAAGGAAAGGAGCTACTAAAACAATTACTAGCAAATACCATAATGATATCCAAAACTCTGTATGCTAATTTTAAAATGATTAAATACATTTCTGTCATTTTAATAATCTAAGATATTTTGTAAAACTATGTAGCTCTTGTTATAAAAGTTGTTGACACTCTGCATTTACCTTTGATGATTTTAGCTTTTAAAACAAGTGACTTGCCCTCATTTTTTATTAAACATGTTTAATTGTTTGCTGTTTTTATTAAGTACAATTCCATATTCATGTTTGATATACTCACCTATGAAGCTGCTTAATGATTATAAAATTCACTTGATTAAAATATATTTAAAATCATCTGCTAAATTAAACAGCTGTGTGAAACATTTGATAAAGTTTCTTAATACATTCAAGATAAGATAAACATTGATTATTATTACTATCACAATAGTTGAATGTGCCCAACTCCATTAGGTATCCCTTGCATTTAAATAATCTTCCTGAAAACACAGCTTTCCAAATTTGTAAGAATACAATTTTCATATTCTTTATTTAATATGATAGGGTTGAAACTATAGTGGTACAGTACAACGTAGCCACTTTATGTCTCCACCTGTTTATTTAAAACAGACAGATGGCAGAAGAAATTTCCTGGTGGTGCTTTACTGAGAGAGCATGCCATTATGTCTCTTAGGCTGGCATGGAAGGCACTCCTAACCCAGACGCTCCTGGAATT